TTCTAATTTATCTCTTACTTGTTTCTTTTATGCACTTTTTGTTTTTATTAAGCCATCAAGATTCTTAGTCTCTAAAAATACCGTAAAGAGTTCTATTTACACTGCTTTACTAATTGATTTCATCTTCTTGAAATACCTCTCCTCTCCCAGTATTTTCTATGTAAGAAAGTCATTAAAATGTCCAGGATCCAACCTTTCCCAGTACCCTCAGCTAGAATTAGTATCTTTCTCTTCTGCTTTCTGATATCCCCTAAGAAACCTGAAACACCAATCAGAAAGAATATATGCACCCACATGTTTGTACCAGCACTATTTACAATAGCTAAGATCTGAAAACAGCCGAAATGTCCATCCGTAGACAAATGAATAAAAAAGCAGTGGTACATATACACAATGGAGTACTATGCAGCTGTAAGAAAGAAAGATCTCTTATCCTTTGAGACGACATGGAGGGACCTGGAAAGTATTATCCTAAGCAAAACAAGCAAACAGAGAAGGATAAGTATCATATGATCTCACTTATTTGTGGAATATAATGAACATAACAGTCTGAGAAATGGGGTCGTCCCAGAGTCGTGGAAGTGTGGTACAGACTGACAATCTCCAGAAGAGGAGCTTGGGGGGGGGGGAGAGCTAAACCACAGAACTTATATGCACGTATGCATGAACAACGGACATGGACAACATAGCTGAGGACAGGGGGGAATGAGTGGGGGAAAAGGAGAAACATCTGTAACAAAAATTAATTAATTAATTAAAAAATAAATAAACAAATAAATAAAATTAAAAAATAAATAAATAAATAACATTTCCAACCCTGGCCAGTTTGGCTCAGCAGTTAGCGCATCAGCCTGTGGACCAGAGAGTCACAGGTTAGGTTTCAGCTAAGGGCATGTACCTCAGTTGCAGTTTGTCCTTGGCCCTGGTTGGGGTGGTGTGGGTGGCAACCACTTGATGTGTTTCTCTCACATCGCTTTTTCTCCCTCTCTCTTCCTCTTTTACTCCCTCCCGCTGTATCTGAAGATAAATGCACAAAATAAAATAAATAAATAATAATATTTCCAGAGGGTCATAAGTTTCACAAAACTGTGACTACATGTAAACATAGAAAGAAAGGCAAAGAATGAACTAAAATCAGGGCAAAGAAAGAAAGGAAATATTCCCCCAAATCATATTTTCACCATGTAACAAAAATGTACACTTTTTTCCAAGGCTTTACCGTTTTGTTTTATGAGACATAAGAGAGAAAATGCCATAGAGATTCCAGAAAAGATTCTTTCTGTGTTTAGTGGTTAACAGGGTTTCAAACACAAATTATATCTTATAATTACAGACTGAATATTGTGTTTAATCTTTACACACATATATTAAAAGGAAAAGGAAGTTTCCTTTGAGGGTAGGAAAAAAAATGTGTTGCAGATAATAGTCTATGCATTTGAGGGAGAAAAATACATCAGGTCATCAACAAAAGAGATAAAGAGCAGTAACTATGGTCCAAGTCTTCAGATTTCCTGCTGATAAATGTGAATTCAATAAACAACTCCTTGTCATCCAATGGGTGAGATTTCTGAGCTCTTGAATCACTTTACACTCCATTAGTGTCTATTTGCAGTCTATTCAACAAGTCAATGATCTTATTGTAGGATTTCAAAAATTACATCTTCACAGGTAAACACAGAAGCCATCAGCCGTCCTTTTAAAAAATGAATAATATTGTGGAAACCGAGGATGAGATTTCCATTTGCATTGCAAACAGATGACAAGGACCAAGGATGTTTATTAAAATGAACTTAACGCACAGGTAAATTGCAGGTAATATCATTGACCTCCTGATCTCTCTGTTTTAACCACCATATTCTTTCTGCTCAGAAAGAAATGAAACATTTCTACTTGACTCTATTTGAATTTATTCTTACTTTTACTAAACTTTGAGGTGTATGTGGAGAACATAATCTCTCTGCAGAACTCAATTTTCCCATCTGTGAAATCAGGGAAGAGTAACTGTCACGCGGAGGTTTTTGTAGGGATAAATGGAAAATACCTATGCCAAAACTTGTGTCAAGCTATGTACAGGGTGGGGCACACATAGTGTACAGTTGTGAGTATGGAAACAGAGTTTATTTTTATATTATTAATTATTAATTAGTGTATTATTTTCCATATGAAAAACTGTAAACCTACTTTTGCCCCCATCCTGTAAATGCTGGTTACTGTTGTTATTACAATTAGTGTTGGTATATATTATTATTATAACTATTGTCTTACAATTTGAAATACTTTTAACACAAAAAAGAAGAGGTGCCCATTTGGAGTATTATAGAAAAAAAAAAAAAACATGCAAGTTAATAGCCACACATTTTAAAATCAATTTAAAGCCATTTTCACAAAGGTGGGCTTTCTTCTCTACTTGATGTCACTGCCAAGGGAGCATGGTGTGACTCATTATAAAGTGATGAAACATCTGCATTTATGTCTTAATTGGAATCACACGTTCTGTGTTCCTAACAGGAGGTGTGATGCGGGGGCAGACAGAGTTGACATGCTCCAAGGGGTAACTACAGAGAGTTGAGTGAAAGGGCTATTTTTAAAGGTGGGATGATATAGTACACTGAGGCTCGTATGATTGGGGAGCCTTTACTACCATTTGGTCTAAAGGAACAAGGGGAGAAACTGGTCATCGGAACCCAGTGAAAACTGTTGCTGTGGGAGACCACTGCATCTATAGAAGAATATAGCCACTGCTAACCTGCATCTGCAGGTGCAATAATAAACACCTTGGCTTCCTTCTTGTCCTGTGCTCAGATTTCCTGCCAGTGCCCACCACTGGCTGAGGTAGCCCAAGTGATGCAGTTCATAAAGATCAGCCTTCTGGGAAACACAGCTGAGTCTCAAAGAGATGAACAGTGGATTAAGGAACAAAATAAAGACAGAACACTAACCTGAACATTACTAGTTAACACAGACTATTGAGTTTATTATAAAGATTATCAAAAAGGAGCAAATAATCAAAACACAAACTCACAAGACTAAAGAACTGTTCAGTGCTAACCACATAGACACAACAGGTTCACAATGACCTTTTACAACTTTGACTAAATAATGGTGAAACATAAATAGTTGATGAGGAAGTTAAAACATATTTGACCAGTTTAGTGCTGTAATCACACGTAACTCACAAAAGAACAGAATTCATCTGACACAGGGTGTTTTTATTTTACTTTCACATTTAATTTTTCTACTGGAGGCCAATAGAAGAAAAATTTTTCTACTGGAGAAAAATAGAAGAAAAAAAAAGATAGTTGTGTAAATGACTTAGCTAATATTGCTACTGAGTCAAATCTAGTTTTACCATGGGTCTGCTAAGGGGAAGGCAGTGGGGGAGGGGCAGGGAGTAAGCAAGCAGGAAGCTGCTTATTTTCCTCTAAAGACATTTGGTCTTCCCTCCTCTCCCAAAGGCACTCCTCATTCTGATCTCCTAGAAAAGGGAGGAAGCTGAGATGAATTCTAGACGCTCAGAGTAGTTACTCCAGCAATTCTATATAGGATGGACTTAGACAAGGGAATCTGATAGAGAGGGTTGCTTGGGTAAGTGACTTGAAGGTGGAAAATACTGTGATTATATCAGAGACTGACTTAAATTCAGGTTATTGGAGCAGTTAGATGATATTGAGTTAATAGAGTATAAAACAAAAGGGACCAGTCTTCCCTAAAGAGGAAACTAAAAAAATAATAGTGGATACCAATGAGAAAGCTACTGTCTGTGTTATTAGCTATGAGTAATAATTTGTTATATTTGAAGCTTTTTAAAATGATATTAAATTTATTGTGGTGACATTGGTTAATAAATTATATAGGTTTCAAGTGTACAATTCTATAATACATCATCTGTATATTGCATCGTGGGTTCACTACCCAGAATCAAATCTCCTTCTGTCACCAAATATTTGACACCTTGTACCATCTTCTACCTCCCGCAACCCTCATTTCCCTCTGGTAACCATTTTTTAAGACTATTTTAGAGCAGTTTCAAGTTCACAGAAAATTTAGAAGAAGATACAGATTTCCCAAACAACCTTTATTCCTACGTATGCATAGCTTTCTCCATTACCAACATCCTGCACCAGAATGGTATATCTGTTCCAGTCAATGAACCTATATTGACACATCATAATCATCTAAAGTTCACAGTTCACATTAGAGTTGATCCTTAGTCTTGTACAAATGTATAATAACATATATCCATTATTATACTATTGTTCAAGGTAGTTTCACTGCCTTAAAAACCCTCTGTACTCTGCCTATTCATCTCCCTCACCCACTCCCCACAACCCTGCACAACTACTTATCTTTTTACTGCCTCTATAGTTTTACTTTTTCTAAAATGTCATCTAGTTGGAGTCATATAATATGTAGCCTTTTCAAATTGGCTTCTTTCTCTTAGTAATATGAGTCAATGTTCCTTCATAGCTTGATAGCTTATTTTTTTTAGTGATGAATAATAGTCCATTGTCTGGATGTACCACTGTTTATTTATCCATTCACTTACTGCAGAACATCTTGCTTGCTTTTAAGTTTTGGCAATTATGAATAAATCTCCTATAGACATCTATGTTCAAGTTTTTGTGTAAACCTCAGTTTCAACTCTTTTCAGTTAAATAACAAGGAGTATTACTGCTGCATCTTATGATAAGAGAATGTTCATTTTTGTAAGACACCACCAAACTGTCTTCCAAAGTGGAAGACATTCCCATTTCCATCAGCTACAAATAAAAGTTTCTGTTGGTCCACATCCTTGTCAACATATGATATTTTCAGGGCTCTAGATTTTGGCCATTCTCACAGATGTACAGTGATATCTATTTGTTGTTTTAGTTTAAATTTTTCTGATGACATTATGTATTACATTATGTATCTTTATTATGTATTACTACTATTTTTATTTTATTTTTAATACTAAAAAAAAAACACAGAAGAATAGAAATTTTCCAACCATTAAGCCTATGTTTCAACCTGTATGGAAACCCAAGGAATGTGGCTATAGATCCCACACTTTTCCCCATGGCACCGTCTTAACTCATTCAAGCTCCACTCATTTTAAGATTTCTAAGAGCAGGTGTGTTTCCAAAACGGCGGCAGCGATGGGTGTGGATACACCGAGCGGCATGAACAGCAGTGTGGGCAAGACGCGCTTTGAAGTGAAAAAGTGGAATGCAGTAGCCCTCTGGGCCTGGGATATTGTGGTTGATAACTGTGCCATCTGCAGGAACCACATTAGGGATCTTTGCATAGAATGTCAGGCTAACCAGGCGTCTGCCACTGCTGAAGAGAGCACCGTTGCATGGGGAGTCTGTAATCATGCTCTACACTTCCACTGCACCTCTCGCTGGCTCACAACACGGCAGGTGTGTCCGCTGGACAACGGAGAGTGGGAATTCCAAAAGTATGGGCACTAGGAAAAGAATATTCTTCCATCAAGCTCAACTGTTTTGTTATTCATTTAATGATTTGTCCTTCTGTTACTTAATTGTAAATTAATAGATAGAATGGGGTCTTTTCTGCTTTGTCTTTTCAGTTTGCTATTCCTGCAGTCCTATTGTGTTCTGTGTCAAATAATAGTTGGATTCTAGAACAAAAAAAAAAAAAAATATTTCCAAGAACAGAAAAGTCTTTCTTGTCTAAGAAGCCTCTTGACTTTTGAGAGTGGCATAGTTTACTCTGCATTGACTACATCAAACTCAAAAGCTTCTGCACAGCGAAAGATACAATCATCAAAACAGAAAGGCTACCCACTGTATGGGAGAGCATAATTGCCAATGATATATCAGATAAGGGGTTAATTTCCAATATATAGAGAGTGCTCATACAACTCCACAAAAGGAAGACAAAGAATCCAATTAAAAAATGGGCAGAGGAACTAAACAGACACCTCTCCAAAAAGGACATACAAATGGCTAAGAAACATATGAAGAAATGCTCATCATCACTAATCATCAGAGAGATGCAAATCAAAACAACAATGAGGTATCACCTCACACCTGTCAGAATGGCCGCCATCAACAAATCATCAAACAACAAGTGTTGGCGAGGGTGTGGAGAAAAGGGGACTCTAGTGCACTGCTGGTGGGAATGCAGACTGGTCCAACCACTATGGAAAACAATATGGTGTCACCTCAAAAAATTAAAAATTGATCTTCCATTTGACCCAGTGATCCCACTTCTAGGAATATACCCTAAGAAGCATAAAACACCAATCAGAAAGAATATATGTACCCCCATCTTTGTAACAGCACTATTTACAATCGCTAAGATATGGAAACAGCCCAAGTGTCCATCAGTAGACAAATGGACCAAAAAGCTGTGGTACATATACACAATGGAGTACTATGCAGCAGTAAGAAAGAAAGATCTCTTATCCTTTGAGACTACATGGAGGGATCTTGAAAGTATCATCCTAAGTGAAACAAGACAAACAGAGAAAGACAAATTTCATATGATCTCACTTATTTATGGAATATAATGAACATAACAGTTTGAGGAATGGGGTAGTCCCAGAGACGTGGAAGTGGGGTACAGACTGACAATCCCCTAAGGAGTGGGGAGGTGGGGGAGGGATGAACCACAGAACTTATACACATGTATGCATGAACAGTGGACATGGACAACAATCTGGGGAAGGGGCAGGGCGGGAAGGGGAGGGGGGAATCAGTGGGGGAAAAAAGGAGAAACATCTGTAACAAAAATTAATCAATAAAAAATAAATAAACAAAAAAAAAATGAAACAATTTGGGACTCGTTTGCATGAAATAGGTACAGGATCCCCTCTTATTTATAGGTGATATGTTCCAAGATCCTCAGTGGAAGTTTAAAACCATAGATAGCACTAAACCCTACATATACTATGTTTTTTTCCTATACATACACACTTATGATAAAGTATAATTAATCTTTTAAGATTGTAAGAGATTATAAAACCTAGTATAATAGGACAATTATAATAATATACTATAATAACAGTTTTGTAAATGTCATCTCTCTAAAAATATCTTATCGCATTGTACTCACCTGTCTTTTGGGGATGATGTGAGATGATGCAATGTCCATGTGATGAGATGAAGTGGGGTGAATGAGGTTTACTATATGGGTTACTTGAACACAAGCAACCAACAGTCAATCTGATAACCTAGATGGCTACTAAATGACTCCTGGGTGGGGACTATACAGCATGGATATGGTAGACAAAGGGATGATTAATGTCCTGGGTAAGACAGTGGGTTGGCATGAGATTTCATCCTGCTACTCAAGAAGAGTACACACTTTAAAATTTATGAATTGTTTATTTCTGAAATTTTCCATTTAATGTTTTTGGACCACTGTTGAACGTAGCTAACTAAAACTATGGATAACAAAACCACCAATAAGGAGGGACTACTGCAGAGGGTTTTTTTTTTTTTTTTTTTTTTTTTGGTGAGGATTTGCTCAACTCTCTTGCCCATTTTCAGCTTCTCTCTAGTTCAGTGACTCTAACTCATAGATAGAGTGATGGATCAGTCATTGGCATTCTGTGAAAAGGCTCCTGCTTTTCTAATTATACCTCTTAGCAAAGGTGAGGAGAGGACACTGAACTGCAGAGAACATGTGTCCAAATGTGTGTGTGTGTGTGTGTGTGTGTGTGTGTGTGTCTGGAGGGGGAGGCATATTGCTTTCCTGTATGTTCTAAGAATATTACTTTCAGCTGGTAAAAAGTTCTAAATTTACCAGGAGAAATTAGGATTCTTCATAGTCAGATGTGAAAGTAAGAACCAAAAGAGAAAGCAAAGCACTTGAAGTGAAGAAGATGGGGACCTGGGACTAAAATGGCTTTAAAAATACACCTGAAAAGACAAAGGTTCCATCACAACTCTGATTATCCATATTGCTTATAGTAAAATGTCTAGCTTTTTGTGGAACTATAATGTACAAATAAGTGCACAGCTACATGAATTTCCACAAACTGAGCGCACTCCGATAACCGGCACCCAGATCGAAAACTGGACGTGACCCAGTGCCCCAAAGCCCCTGAAGCTCCCATCCCATACACCTTGGTCCTGATTTCTGACCACATACATTCACTTTATATGTTTTGAGTTTTCATATTATTTGAATCATTCATTGTATACTTTCTGATACCTGACTTTGTTCATTCAACATTATACTTGACAGACAAATACAAATCATGTGAAAATTATTCTTATTGTTGCATAGTATTACTTAGTGAGTTCATATCTCAAATTATTTATCTAAGCAATTACAGCATTTTTTTCCCCTGGAAATGACCATAGTGTGGACCCATTTCAGAAGACTCAGATAGAGATAATGAATTGTGTTTATGTTACTGGATATGAGTTCAAGGATATTGTTTCATCCTCTTTGCAATATGAATAAAATATAGCATCAATAATTTTGAGGAGTAAAGAGGATAAAATGTTACATAGACATTGCTAGAAAGAATCAGGGGTGGGGGACTATTGGAATTATAATATTTATTTGGTTATTTAAAAAAACAAAGGCCCTGAATGAGGAAGAAATGATCAGATGCTACACCTGTTCTACACACACACACACACACACACACACACACACACACACACACACACACTTCTTTTCCTTTATGTTAAAATAATGTGTTTCCCCATATTTCAATGTTTCCTATGTAAAACATTCTTCAAAATATCTGAACTTTCAATCAAATCCAGTATATAAATGAGAGATAGAATTATGCAAAAGCAATTTAGCATTCAATCTCTGTCATTTGAAGATGAAAGCACCAGTTTTGAAAAGAAGAAAAAAGTAGCATGATTTAAAATAGTAAAATAAAGGCATTTGGTTCATCTTGGATCCACCATTTAGAATGACAGCCTCGACTTTCTTCCACTCTGATTTACAGCTTGTTCTCTTGGGTGACGCTCCGACTGTAAGGACATTAAGATATGATTTATTTGCATAAGGCCAATACAGGGTTATCCTGCTTTCAAAAATTAGGGACCAGCACTACTCCACAAATGGAACAAAAATGTTAATCATGTTAAAACTAGGTCTCAATGATTGAAACAGGCTGCAAATCCAAATGATTAACAATGATGACAAAACCAGAAACAAATTTATACTCCAAAGAACAGCTTATTATCACTCTTTGCTTGTCTTCTCAAAGCTAGGTGTTAATAAAATTGGTGTCTCGGGGTGCCTCATCTTGATCTTTCACAGTTTAAAAATAAAAGATAAATTATTTAACTTTCATCTCTTCTCTCCTAATTTTTTTTAATTAACGAAATGAATAAAAGTCAGATGTAAAAATGAACTCTGTCATACAAAGAGAAGTCCTGGAAAAGGGACATTATAATTAAAAAAAACAACTCGGATGCAACTTATTTGATTACAACATGTCACAGTCAACCAGCTACAAAAGAACTGAGGGCACCCTCTCTGCCATGCCCTGCTCTACTTGTGCTGCTTTTGGTAGATTCTGAACTTCCATAGAACAACATGATCAAATTAGTTTTCCATCTCTTAAATAATATGTAATTTAATTTTATTTCCTTACCATCTGCAAAAATGTAACACCAGTGATTAAAACAAAACAAAACAGAAGACAGGCCAAAATTCCCCTTTTCCAACTACGGTGATGGTTATACAAAAAGAAAAACAAAAACAGGATCAGAACAGCTAACATCAGTGTTCTGCATGGTCAAAGATTTCGGTCATTACCAAACTTTCTGGGCATCCTATATTCATTCTAAATAAACATTAAACTCTTCCAAAGAAAATTTAAAAAATACCTCAAGGGAAAAAAACTAAACATGTTTATTTAGGAGGAAGACATTATCAATTAAGAAGCATTGGAACACCATGTACACTTTAATGAATTGAGCTAAAATTATATCTTACAAACTGCCAAATATATCAAAGCGGAATGAGACAGAAAGCTAAAAGATTTAGGGTTAAGGTTAATAAATCATTTGAAAAATTTTTTAATGTATTTATTTTAGAGAGAGAGGAGGGAGAAAGAGAGAGAGAGAAACATGGATTTGTTATTCCACTTATTTATGTTTCGTGTGTGTGCCCTGACCGGGAATAAACCCACAACTGTGGCGTATCCAAACAACACTCTAACCAACTGAGCTACCCAGCCAGGACCTTCGTTTTTAATGTTTTAAATTATACATTGTATTCTATGTATTTTATTGCATTATTGTAAATAATGTATATGTGTAACATACTATTATATTTATGTTTGAAAGCATTTATTATAAATAAATTGTCTGAAATGTCTCAAAAAATAGTTATCATTTTAAAATCCATGACAGTATTTCCTGAAAATTCCCCTCCTTGAGAACTACTTAATGAACATTAGCCATAAATACATATGCTACGTTTTGGTACATTTTTATTTTTTAATGTTTTTATTGATTTAGAGAGA